AAAAAAACGGAAATATATATGTATATGGATATATAAAAAAAATGAAAAAGAGAGAGAGAGAGAGAGAGAGAGAGAGAGAGAGAGAGAGAGAGAAACAAATGAAATTGGAAAAGGAAATATCATCAATTGGGAAGTGGTCAATCAATCAAATGAATGAATGACGCATGATTGATTAATTTTTGGCCAATTATAACACCAACAACAACAACAAAAATTATGACATTGTCAAAAGCCAAAGTCATAATTTTTGAAGAAATTTTCTATTGAAAAAAAATTGATAAAACAAATGTCACGTGGCAATTAAGAGAGAAAATGTGAAAAAATTCAATCAACCAGTTAATCAGTCAGTCAGTCAGTCAGTCAGTAAGTCAATGAGGATCGATATTGAAAAACTTACGTAATGAATTGGTTGAATGAATGAATGAATGACGATTTTTGGATGAACAAAAATGAAAATTTCAATCAAAAATCAATGAAATTGAAATCGATTCTAATAAAAACTGATTGATTGATTTGATATTGATTGATTTGATTTTTTTTTTGGAAAATCAAACGTCATAACATTGTTAAAAAATTCTCTGTTTTTTTCTCTACGGAAAAATAAAAAAATTTGATGCGTTTAATTTGTTGTTGTTGTCGTTGTTTTCATTAACAATGAAAACAAAAAAAAAATCCATTTCTTTGGTCACAACAACAACAAGTGTGGTAAAAAATTTTTTTTTCTTCCTAAATCAGATATACTTTCATTTTCACTTTCTTTTTTTCTCTATATCTCGCGAGATAAAATAAGAATTTCCATATATCAATCAATCAATCAATCAACACCGATGTTGATTGATTGATTGATTATATAATTTAAAAATAATTACAGGTTAATTAAGGTGAAAATCCACTTGAATCTACAACAGACAGGCAGGAAAAAAGAAACTTTAAAAAAAAAGTTTTAAATTTCAAATTAATAGGAATTTTGATTAAAGATTATCATCCGAAAAAATCATTGTCATCAACAAACAACAAACAAACAATAAACAAAGTTTAACACATGATCATCACAGGTGGTGTAGGTAATCAAATCATTTATTATAAGCAAGCATACTTGTAATGTTTCTAATTTTAATTTTAAATTTTTTTTTTCTTAAAAGAATTTTTGTTTTCTCTAAGATTAATAATCTGAGATAGTCAAGTATGTCAAACAACAACAACAACAACAACAACAAAAAACTCGACTTTTGCTGGTGAAAAAAAGCCATAATAGTTTTTTTCAAAAATGATGAAAATCAGAAAAACAAAAATATCGATTTCCGGATTTTTTGTTAAAAATTTTTGACAAAATTCGCCAAAGAGAACACATTGGGAGAATGTTTGTTTTTTCCTTCCACCAACTAAACAGCATTGATGATGATGATAAACATAAAAATGAAGGAAGAGAGAGAAAATTTGTGTTGGAAAAAAACAACAACACTGATAATTATCATTTGTAACAGTAAAACTAAACAACAAGATGATGATGACAAAACACAGAAATTGTAATTGTAAAATTTTTTTCGAAATGAACAAAATGAATCTCTAATTTACATCTTGTAAATACACATAGATAGGGACGATGATTTTTTTTAATTTCCAAACTGATCATGATAATGATAATTGTTTTTTTGTTTCAATGCGGTAAATAAATTTAAAAAAAAGCCGGGAAATGAATAAATATTTGATGATGATAATCAGGGGTTAAAAAAATTTTTGAATAAATTATCGCGATAACATACCTTTGTTGTTGTTGTTGTTCTAGTTGTTGTCAGAATCAAGAATTTTAAAATATTCAAACCGAAATCCAATAAAATACACATAGAGAGAGAGAGAGAGAGAGAGAAAACATAAAGAAAACTGAATTCAATTTGCAACGAATCATCGAAAATACATTATTGATCGATCGATCGATAACGGTTTAATGTGTTGATTGAATAATCTTTAAATGTTTCTTTCTTTGTTTATCATTATTGAAATTCAAAATAAATACAAAATTGTAGTCAATAATCATCGTTTCTTCTTTTTTTCTTGTGGTATTCACCCAACGTAGTCATCGTAGCAACTGTTTTATTTATTTTTATTTGAAAAAATATTAAAGAATCTTTTGTGGGGATGCGTCGACAGTTTTCGCTTTCTCTCTCTCTTCTTTTCTTCATTCGGTTGGTTTTTTTTATTTGCATTTTTTTATTTGTATATATAATCTACGTATGTGTGTGTGTGTGTGTGTGTGTTATACAGACATTACAAACATACCCAACAAACAGGCAACAATCATCATTGAACAAACAGAAAACAGCAAACCAAAAAGAAAACTAATAATTTTTCATGGCGATGAACCGACGCCAAAAATTTTTATTCGAGATTTTTATGCTGGTAGATTATTAGAGAGAGAGAGAGAGAGAGAGACAATCGAATCGACAAAAAACATCAAATTTATATTGGTAGGAAAGAGAGAGAGAGAGAGAGAGAGAGAGAGAGAGAGAGAGAGAAACATGTGTATTATAAAACCTAAATAAAAATTTGCATATTGTTATTGCTTCCAATCATCATCATCATCATAAACAAGCAATGATTTCCAATTATGATGTAAAAGTAATGTACAAAAAAAACAAAACAAAAACAAACAAACAAAAACAAAAATCTTTTCAAAAGCTACCGAATAATAATAATTCTTGGTAAAGATATACAGATTGTGTATTTGGCATAATTCTTTTGGTGGGATCAATTTTTGTTTTTTGACCAATTTTTTTTTTGCTTCTTTGTTACGAAGAATTTTTTTGTTTGTTTTCATTTAATCCTGATACAGTTTTGTGGGGGATTTTTCTAGTTTTGTTTGGATTTTTGCTGTTGCTGTCCAGTTGTTGGATGATGGTCAAATCTACTTTCAAAATATTCAAAAAGATTCAAATCGATGAAGCGAAAACTGAATAGGGTAATAAAAAAACAGCATTATCATTTGAAACATTACATCATTGTTTCTTCTGGAGAAAAAATCCTATTTAAACTTGAATCCAATTTTTTTTTCCAAAGAAAAACCAATAAGACAATGAAAAAAATTATATGATTTTTCCTTGAAAAAATATAGCTATTATTATCCAACTTTTTGTTCCCCAAAAGTATTTTCCATCATCAACATCATTCATTCATTCATCATTCATAGAGAATATTCTCCCCCAAACTATTTCCTCCCTCATCTTATCATACTAATCAATCATAATAAATTATTATTAGTATTTTTCTAGCTAATCAATTCTATACAATAATATTTGCGTTTGTTTGTGTGTGCTATATTGAGCGTAGGAGAGAGAAAACAAAAAAGTATTGAATTGAAAACTGACAATCAATCCAAAAATAGATATATAATAACCAGAAAGAAGAAAAGAAAAGAATTTTCCAAAATAAATAAAATTTTCATTATTGTCTTGTGTTAGATTGAATATGGATGTATGCAACAATATACGTCATATAATTTGATAATTCTATTTTTAAATAAAAAAAATTATAAAATGATAATTATAATTTGTATTAAAACAAGTGAAAAATGTTGATAATTATAATGTTTGTTATAACCAGATAATAATGATGAATACAATGAATGAAAGAAACAAGACAAAAGAAACGTTGCTTGATTTTTTAGGAAGAAAAAACAATTGAAAATTTTATTTGTGTAAAAAAAAATTCTTTAATAAACATGTCTTATGGTTTGTTTGTGTGTGTGTGTGTGTGTTGATGCAATGTTGATTGCAAAACAACAATTGACGGATGGATGAATTGAATTGAATTTGAAGAAGAAAAAAAGAAGAAAAATCTAGCAAGTGCAATCAACAGGTAGGTAGGGTTAGATGAATGAATGAATGAATGATTGTGAAAGTGAAGAACCAAAATCTTTTCTTTTTTCTTATTTGATTAAACAATCGATTGTTTAATGAATTGATAAGAAAAAAAAACATTCCACACATTTTTGAATATCAAATGAAAATGATTCAAGTGAACAACAAATCAAAAATCAAATCAAATTGTTTTTGATTATTTTGTTTGATAAGATCAAATATTTGGACAATTTTTTTGTTTGTTTGTTTGGAATCAAAAAAGGAAATGTTGCGAATAATTTTTTTTAACATAGAGATGAATGAATGAATGAAAAGATGAGAAAATCGCCATAAAGAATGTGTTGTTGTTGTTCAATCAAAAGATTGATTTATTGAATCACAAGTGAAATGACGTTGGATGTTGTCCACTTTAAACACATTTTTTATTATTATTGTTGTTATTTTTAGGCAAGGGTTCTTTTAATGAATGTGTGATAACGAAGAGTTAACAAAAATTCTCTGAATAATGCTACCGTTAATTCCAGAAAAAAAATAACATTTTGTTTTTCTTTCTGATAAATTTTCTGAATAAAAATGTTTATTTTGATTTTGTTTTTGCAATATTTTCAATCTGATTGACGTAATATTTCAAAACAACAAAAAAGAATCTTTATTGTTATTTTGGCCATGATAATGACAATTGTTTTGTTGATTAAGTTGTCCACAAAAATGATTGATAAATGATTAATGAGAATTTTAACCAAACAAACAAAACAACAACTGAACAATTGAAATCATAAACAAATAGCCACTGTGTTTTTTTATGATTTTTTTTGTTCATCTTGAAAAACAACTAATTCGGAAGCAGAAATCATTATTGCATTTCATCATTTGAAAATGAAAATTACGTATGAAAACAAACAAACAAACAAACAATGTATTTTTATTTCATTCATTTCTTGTCATCAGTATGTACATATTCAAGAATTCTCGTTCGCGAATTGATCGATGATCTTCATTATTATCATCTTTCGTGGTAGGTTAGCAATCTCTCTCTATTCATCGATCATAATATGAATGATCATTTATTATTCAAATCAAACAACAAAAATGAAATCATCAAAAAACAAAATACAAAAAATAGGAATTTTACATTCATCATTATTACCATCAAAAATCTACAAATTTATTCACCCAATTCACCGAAAGAGAAAGCGAATGAATTCAAAAAAAAAAAAATGAAATTATAATCAGTGAATGCTCAGGTATTTAAGATGTTCAAATTTTATTTATATTTACGATTACGAAAGAGAAAAAATAAACGATAGACGAATGAATCAAGATTTTAAACAAGACTGTTTTATTTTAAGGAAGTTATATATTAAAAACGCAAGAAAGAAGAAAAGAAAGAAGAAAGTTCCACCAAAAAAAAAAAAAAAAACAGTAAAAACTGTTCGAATAAAGATTACTGTGTTCGATTGTCGAACGATTCGAACACTGTAATTTAACCCTTGTTTCTTCTAAATCCTTGATTTTTTTCTCCAATTCCGAAATCAAAGAATTTTTGTTAACCAATTGTGATTTTAGTTCTTCAATTTGTCCTTTTAGAGTTAATTTGTGTTTTCTTGCTCGGGCTTCTGCCGCCCGGCTTTTGTCCGCTTTGATCTCTCTTTGATCCATCTTTGATCTCTCTTTGATCCATCTTTGATCCGCTCTTGCGACGGTCTAGGCGGATAGATCCACTTTTCGGGCGGTCTTTAATCTTTCCTTACGACTTTCTCGAGCCCTTGTGAGAAATTGAATGAAGCACTCCTGAATAGAAACAAACAAAATAAGACAAATAATTGATGAAAAACATAAAAAAGCAAATCATTTTAATTAATTTACCTCCAAACTGCTTGGCGGTTCTTTTGCTAATTTCATTATTAGTTTTCTAACGGATCGAGCTCTCGTTTCCGANTCTCTCTCTATTCATCGATCATAATATGAATGATCATTTATTATTCAAATCAAACAACAAAAATGAAAAAAAAAACATTGGTCAATATTGAAATCATCAAACAAAAATGAAATCATCAAATACAAAAATAGGAATTTTTCATTTACCATCAAAAATTTACAAAATTTATTCACCTAATTCACCAAAAGAGAAAGCGAAAGAATTCAAAAAAAAAAAATGAAAAACGCAAGAAAGAAGAAAGAAGAAAGTTCCACACAAAAAAAACAGTAAAAACTGTTCGAATAAAGATTACTGTTTTCGATTGTCGAACGATTCGAACCCTGTAATTTAACACTTGTTTCTTCTAAATCCATGATTTTTTTTCTCCAATTCAGAAATTAAAGAATTTTTGGCAACCAATTGTGATTTTAGTTCTTCGATTTGCCCTTTCAACGTCAATTTGTGCTTTCTTGTTCGGGCTTCTGCCGCCCGGCTTTTGTCCGCTTTGATCTCTCTTTGATCCGCTCTTGCGACGGTCCAGGGGGATAGATCCACTTTTCGGGCGGTCTTTAATCTTTCCTTACGACTTTCTCGAGCCCTTGTGAGAAATTGAATGAAGCACTCCTGAATAGAAACAAACAAAATAAGACAAATAATTGATGAAAAACATAAAAAAGCAAATCATTTTAATTAATTTACCTCCAAACTGCTTGGCGGTTCTTTTGCTAATTTCATTATTAGTTTTCTAACGGATCGAGCTCTCGTTTCCGAAGGTATTGAAATGTATTTCAAAAATAATTTATTGATGAATATTTGAACATAGGTTACTCTTCAACCCTTGAGGAAATTTGTTCCAAGATTTTGGAAATCATTTGATAATAATCTAATTTATAATCTCTCTACTTCTACACAATAGCTTCGAATCGATGATTAAAACATCAGTCAAACCAAACTCAATGTAACAAATCAAACAAATATAACACGTGGTAAGGTTTTTTTTTGTATACAAAATCAAATTGCTTATTCAACTATATATAGCATCTAACAATCGAATGAAAGAAAAATTTTTAGAACATTTTAAATAGATTGAACAAAAAATTCAATCGAACAAAGATCAAAAGTTCGAAACTTCGAATCTCAATTCATTTTATGTTTCGGCTTCATTGATATGCTTCATTCGCAAATGTTTCTGATTTCTAAATGATGTAATGTGTAAATGGCGACATTTCAACATTCGAGAGAAAAAAACCCCCCGAAAAATCTTGGGGATTTAATTTCGAAATCAAGCATTTGTTGATTGATTTGATCTGCGATGGTGGTAGTGAAGGAGGATTGGAATGTACATTCATTCGCTTTTTACTGTAATTAAATCTTTTGATAACTCTTTTTTTTAATTGCTTTTTTTCCCCTCCCGTTTAATTAAACGAACCCAGCAACAACAAAAAAAATTATTTATGGATTTTAATTGATCAATTTTCCTGGAATGTTTTAAGTTCAACGAATCATCTGATTGACAACTGGGAAAAAATATTTCTAACTCTCTTCGATCATCACTGAAATTCAAGAATTTCCGGCAATATTCATTTCAAAAGAAGGAAGAAAAATTAATAAGAAAAAAAAATGTTTTTAGGAATTTCTTTCATAAATGATTATTGAACAAGCAAGCAAACAAACAAACACACATCAATAATGATTTTTGATTTATCCAGATGTTCAATTTGTTCGAAAATATATTCTTGATTCTTGATTTTTTGATTCTTACATAATGTCAATCAAAAAATTTGATTATTGCAGAATTTTTTTGTTGTTGTTAACCAGCTCTGTTGTTGTTGATAAAATTCTGTCGAAAATTCTATTTAAAAAAATCCATATTTTGTACAAAAAATCAAAATGTATAAAAATAAATCCAAATCGACTAAAATTCAGTGATTTCCGTGAATTGAATTCAAAACAAAACACCAAAAACAAAACAAAACAAAACAAAAAATAATTTCGTAATCTTTCCATTAATATTTATGGTCTTTTTGTGTTTTTGTCATATGCAGAATATATTCTGGTTTTGTTGTTGTTTTCAATTATTTTTTTTGCTCTGATCCAGAAATTAATTCCATTTCATTTCGTTTTTTTTGGAGATTTACATTTGATTAATTCATTTAGATCGAATAATAATGGAAATTTCGTTGTTCGAGATTTTTTTCCATTGAATTATGAATTATTTTTAGCAATCGAAAAAAAATCCACAGCGGATTCGATTTTTCAATACAAACCAAAAAAATTCTTCGTCCAACCAACGACATCTAATGGCAGAAAAAGTTGATTGCAAAACAAAAATAACACTGTTGCCATCTGTGTACAGATAAAAAATTGATTTTTTTAAAAGTGAAAAAAATTTTATTTAAAAAAAAATCAAAGTAATTTGAAATTATAATGAAAAAATCTATACATATGTTTTAGCTGTGTATTATTGAATGATGATGGTAATGGCTAGTTAAATTTATAAAACAAAATTATTTAAAATGATATTATTTGTTTAATCAAAAAAAAAGAAGAGAAAAAAGTATTTTAAATCCGATAATAAATGAATAAGTATTATAAGGGGGTTTGCATAATGTAATGTATATTTATAAATTTCACAATGAAACAACTTGTAATGAATTCTCCTGTTTGTCATCAAAAAAATTATATCTTAGGATCAATTCATGGGAAAAATGAATAAATGTTTTAAAAAACAAATCATGATTTTTTAAGTGGAAATTGTAGCATGATTTACAGTTGATGAAATTGAATTATTTGCAACTATCAATGTTTGATTATTATCATTTTCAATAGTAATAGTATCGATTGTTGTTGTTCCATTTGTAATCATCTTTTTTGATTTTGTTTCTTCATTATTATCCTTAACATCATTATCATTATCAATATTTTCTTGTTTTTGTATTAAAACTTTAGAATTTTGTTTATCATTATTGGCTGTTGATGATGATGATAAAGTTGAGCATAATTGATCGGGAATATCCGCAACGGCGGCTGTGGTTGCGGCAGTACTATTAGAAGATGTTACATTTGTTGTTGATGATTTTACAATATTGAATAACATTTTTGGATTAGATAATGCAGCTGCTGCTAATTTTGGATCACGTTTAACTAATGGTGGTCGACCTCTACCACGTTTAATAGATTGTTTTCCGCCAACGTTGCTGATGTTTGAATTTCCATTAACACCTTTATGACCATTTACAGCACCACCGTTTGTTAATTTTTTCGTTGATTTTGCTGATATAACAAATGGATTCAATTTTTGTACCTGTTGCTGTTGAATGGCGGAGGCAGTTGTTGTTGTTGTTGTTGTCGATGATGTATGATGTTTAATTTTCGGTGGTCTACCACGACGTGGTTCTACACGTATCAAATTGCCTTCCGGTATTTCATATTTACTATCAACAATTGCTGCTGTTGTTGTTTTTAATGTTTTGGTTTCATCAGTTTTAGCTGTTTCCGTAATATCACCACCAGCATTATCAATTACTGATTGATGGTTATCAACCGAATCCGATGATGATGAAGAGGAAGAGGATGAACCACATGATGGTAATATGTTTGTAGTGTTTGTTGTTGGTGGTGGTGTGGTCGTCGATGATGATGATGATACTGATCTAAGAGCTGCAAGATTTTTTTGCCATATTTGCTGTGACCATGATCGTAATTTTGATTTGGTTATCTTATTATTCTTTGTCTTACTACTGTTACTACTATTACTATTACTGCTATTACTATTACTATTATTTTTATTTAATAAATCATCATCCAATATCTGATGATCCGAATTAATTTGATAATCAATATTTTCATTCGATTTTTTCGGTGTTTCTGTTGTTGATTGTTGTTGATCACAATTATCATTTGAAATTGATAATTTTTTCTCCGTCGCTGTCGATGATGTTGCATTTCGATTTCGAAGTAATTTTCCACCCAATAATAAACCTGAAGACTTATGAACATTGTTTGCATTATTATCCTCACTAGCTGTTGATTCGGATTTAATTGTTATCGACGAACCAACAATAGATTTACCATTTGTAGTTATTGTTTTTTGTACATTATTTATATTTTTCAATTGTGTATAATTCTGTTCATTCTGCATCATTATTGTCGAACATTTATTATTTCTATCATTTAATTCTTCAGATTTCGGTGGTGATGATAATGCTGATGATGAAGTCGACGATGATGATGGTGATGATGATGATGATGATGATATTGATTCAATGATAGGTTTTTCTAATATTTTAACATTATTATTCAAATTTAGATCATTTGTTGATTGATGATTTGTTGATAATGTTGATTTATGTATTTTTGTTACATTAAATTGTTTGTTATGATCACCATTGGCAGCTTTTATTATATTATTAGTAGTAATAGTTTGATTGGTGGTATTAATGGTGAGATCATTAGAATTATCAACATGTTTATCATTATTATTATTACTATTTGACTATTTAAAAGAGAAACGAAAAAAAACACAAAACAAAAAAGAATTTTAAAATAAAAATGAATAATTCCAAATGATAAAATTTAGAAAAAATACTTAAACATAAACTTACAATCGGTAATTTACGTTTACGTCCACGTTGTTTACGACCCGTATGTAAATTATTATTATTATTAGTTGTAATAGTGGTAGTAATTTGATTATTATTTTGATTGATTGTCACAGATGATGATGATGATGATTTTAAATTAATATTATCTGCTTTGTCATTATCATTACCATTATTGTGATTACGATTATCATTATTAACAATTTTTGAATTTGAATTTTCTTTATTTATCGCCGTTGTCATCAATTTATTAACATTATTATTATTATTTTGTTGATTATTCTTATTATTAATATTATTATTTACACGTAATGTAGCTAAACCGGCAATACCAAGTGATTTAGCTGAATCGATTAATGAATCAATACGTTCAGTAGGAACAACTAGTTCACCTTTATAAACAAATTCAAGTATATCATTTAAATCTTCATTTGTAAAATTTTTTAGAAATACAATTGGACAAAAACCAAATGGTATATGATGAAATATTTCTTTAAAATATGTTGATGATGCTGCAAGTATAACACGATGTGCTTTAACTGCTTGTCCATTACAAATAATTGTTACATCGCATAACATTTCATCACAAAGCATTGATTCAAATGCTGATGACATACGATCCTGATGATTTAAACGTATCACCTGATAACTATTCATTTCATTTGATTGTTGTTGTTGTTCTTGGCCAGATTCATCAACACCACTATTATTTCCATCACCACCACCGCCAATACCAATATCATTTGAATTTGAATTCTGATTAGCCATTATTTTCTAATAGAGAAATTTAAAAAATAAAAAATTTCATAGGTTTAAAATCAATCAATAAATTTATTTAATGGAACAAATCAAAATGAAAATCAAATTAGGTCAAAACAAACTGTTGATTCAATTTTCATTACAAACAACGAAGAAAAATATTCAACGAAGTGAAAAAAAAATGCGAGCAACATACAACGGGAATGTATCTGTGTGTTGTTTCGCAAAAAAAACTAACTTGCGCTGCAGTGAAGCCAACATTTATCATTATTTTTTTCATTTCTGTTTTTTTTTCCATTTCAATATCCTACTTGTTGAGCAAAAAATATTCGGACAAACATAAAATATCGTTAAATCTCTCTCAAACAACTTAATTCCAAAAAGGATTTTTCCGATAAACATTTTTCTAAAATTCTAATTATTCTTTTAAAAAATCTACAGTGAAAATTTTTACAAAAACATCTATCTGCATGTATGGATTTTATTTGAAAAAAAAATTCTACAGTCCATATATTTATTGCAAGAGGGAGTATGTACGTGTGTGTTCATAAACACACACCAACAAACATACATACACACAAATGATGACGACGCCTTTTGCATAATTTTTTTTATTCATCTAAAAAGATAAAAATATTCATTTTTTTCTTTCGGAAAAGAATTACGCAATCAGGAAAAAAAGAGAATAAAATATTTTTAAAAAAATCTCATATAAAACGTATACACCAGGTTATAAATTATCATTATATCGATTAGTAATTATCATTGATTTTTTTACAAATAAAATTATAATGTAATCACTATATAGAATCAAGAATTTGTAACAAGCATGGTTCCCCTTCTCGTACACAACAGAAAATTACAATTTATAATTTCATTACAAAAAAAAACGAAAAATTCAAATTGGAATAGACAAAACAAAAACGATTCGACCTACCTTTTTTAACCAAGAAAAAACAAAAGATGATCAATCAAAATTCATCTATTACATAGAACTTGAACACACACACAAATTGATTTATAAAACAAAAAAATCATTCACTTTACAAATTTAAATTATAGAATCAAAAACAAAATAAATTCACAAAATTAAAAAAAAAAATTCGAATGTTGTTTTTTTGTGTAATAAAATACACAAACAAAACCAAAAAACAAACAAAACAAAACAAGAATTAAAACAAAGAAAAAATTTACAAAAAAAAAAAAATTTTCAACTAAAAACAAAAACAATTCACATTCAAAAATTCGGTTATTTATTAACAAGAAATGTTCCGGAAATTTAACATCTGTATTCCGGTTTTTGGTTTTGTTCAAGAATTTAAAAAGTTTTTAAAATGAATCAAAATAAAAAATTCTTTATAATTTAAAAAAACTAAAAAATCTTAGCATTTTATTAATTCTGTTTTTATAATAAAAATTATTTTTTTATTTTTGCTTGTTGATAATAATGGATTCAACAACAACAACAAATCATAAACAAAAAAAAAAAAAAAAAAAAAAAAAAAAAAAAAAAAAAAAACACAACCAAACACCCATTTTTTTTTTATTTGCTTGTTGAAAAAAAAGGATTCAAAAAAAAAAAAAAAAAAACAAAAAAAAAAAAAAAAAAAAATACAAGATACAAGAACAACAACAACAACAACAACAACAACGACGACGACATTCGACATCGATTTTTGGCGAGCGCTCAACAATTGGATATAATATGGGCGGAGAACGAAGAAGAAGAGGATGATAATGATGAGGATTTTTGTGTGCTAAGCGAGCGAATAAAAAAAAAAACGCGCACACCATCATTTTATCAAGGTAGTAGTATTAGTTAATGTTTGTAAAAAAAATTTCATTTATGAATGACCCAAAATGATACGATGGTTGTTTGATTATGTCAAAAAAAGTAGTGGTTCATTTTTATGTTTGATTTTGGATTGAAGCAGAAAACTTGTTGCGCCTCTACAACATAACGCAACGAATAGCGCGCGTTGTTTTTTTTTAGATCATTCAATGTATTCCAAACCATATATGTACATCAACGCAACATTAGTTGTTGCTTCAATTGAGATAACAAAAGTGTTGAACAAACGCGCCATTCAGATTAAATAAAGTGTGAGTGAGGAAAAAAAAACGCGCGACTTGGCCAAAATTCATTGGTCGCTATGCCGCTACCAAAAAAACGATTCGATAAGATTGTGACCAAAACTTAACATATAAAATAATTCGGCAGGGAAGCTAATGGTTCGAAAAGAAAGAAAGAAAAAAAATCGAATGATAATGATGATTATGTCATTCTAAACCAAAAATTCCGAATGATATTTGCCTTTTTCATTAAATTATCATTAGTGATTCTCTTTTTTTCCTATTATCAAACTTGTTCAATTACCCTACAAGATGCTAAAATATCTTTGTAAATGACCACGGTAATAACCGAAAAATCTTCAAAAAGAATCATTTCCGGCTACCAAATGCTATCAATGTATATATATGTGTGTGTGTGTGTGCTACCGTACATGAGCATTTCGTTTCAATATAATGATTTACATAATGAAAATTTATCGTTGAATAATGAGAACCAATTTTAAGATACAATTTAAATGCAAAGAATAAAGAATAAAATAATCGAAAAACAAAATGAATTGCAACATCATCGATATATACAAAGCATCGTTTCTGTTATTGACATAAGTCTACTGGGAAAATTCATTATTTCTCCAAAAGCAAAACAAAAAAAAAAATTAATCCTTTTTGTTTCCCAACAATTTAAACTAAAAAACCTCCAATTCAATGGGTAATAAGAAATCCATTTCATTAATTAAAATTTTTCATTTTCAAACGAAAAAAAAAATCGGCTTTTTAAAAGAATCCGCTGTTTTGGCTTTCACAAACTTCCAAATTATCATTAAAAGACAAAAAAAAATTCCTAATATTTATTTCAATGTTGAAAAAAGATGTCACCACTATCATATTAATAACGGAAGTTTATTGTTGCATGATCATCATAATTCAACAAAACAATTTAGCTAACAACAATTCAGTGATTCTGTGTAAAACCAAAAGCTCACAAAAACTATTATGTACAAAAATCTGAAAAGGTATGATGATTTTTTTCCACTTTGAAAAATATATTTCAAGATGTGTCACACACACTTATATATATCAAAATCATATACTGTGTGTGTGTGTGCCACAAAAATTCAATCACATTTAACTATTTTTTTTTTCATCATTATTCGGGTAAATCCCATTTTTTTCCCATAGAAAAAAAAACCCAAGTTATGAAAGAAAAAACTGGCCAATTGCGTATGCGCTGATGACGGGAAATATACGCGACCGAAATGAAAATCGGGTGAGAGAAAAAATAATCGGGTTCACACACACAACTCAACATGGTTACAAGAACAAACTTTTTGTGATAGTTTCAACACGAAAAAACGAATGGCCCACTGGATATATATAGTTCATATGAATGAATGAACGGAATGGAATGGAATGGACTCGTCAGCCAAAATAAAAAAGAATTGGTTTTTTTTCTTCGTCGTCGTCGAATCTATATTGTAAAATTCTCATTCTCGTTGTTGTTGTTGTAGTTTCTTCATGATGATCATAGAATATTTTCTCATTTTTTTCCTTCATTATTATTATTGTACAAGGTATGGTACTCCCTGTGTGTGTGTGTTTTGTCAAACAGCTAACCAAGAATATAAAAAAAAATTCTTGTTTATCATCATCATCATCATCATCATATTCCACAGAAGCAGAAATAACAATAGAAAAAAAAAGTTTCTTCCTTTTTCAATTCAATACATTCAAGAATTACGTGTAACCCATTCGATATATTTGTTTTTGTTTTCTTTTTGAAACGAAAAAAAAATCTTTTTCATCTTTAGAAAATATTTTTTTTTCATCCAAAATTTCAATGAAACTTTTATTTGTTTGATTTAGGAAAAAAAACATATAAGAAAAATATTCTTATCAACTCACCACCATCCTATCGAATAACAACAAAACTTCATTGGAATTCCAGCTAACTAATCATCATTCGAATTGAATCTAACTCTTTTTATTCGACAAAAAAAAAGAAAGAAGAAACTTTGACATTTCGAATCTGTTGTTTTGGTTCATTGTTTATTTGAAATTTATTTTGAAGAAAAAAAAAATTATTGATGATCAGAGCTTAATTAAAAATCATCATTATCACCATAAACCAATAAATAACATCAGTAAAAAAAACATCAGTGCCTATCGAAATCATCAATCAATCAATCAAAAATAATATTTTGATAAAAAAAAATTTCGAAATGCTATACCAAACGATTGATGGTAGTGATTGGAAAAAGAATAATAACAACAATAACAATTCAAACGCATCAAATTTGAATAAAAATCATTTTATGCATCAAAGTCATTCATATCATTCAATTATACATCAACAACAACAACAATTACCGCAATCAAATACGGATACAAATATCGTAAATAAATCGATACAAAATCTAAATGATGATGTTTTGATTGAAAATGCTGAGCTTATTGAAAAATTATTTCCAAAATGTCGACCAAAAACTAAATTATTAATATCGCCTTCCAATATCAATACAAATATTATTAGTAATAATAATAAACAAAATTCTATGGATTATAATGATTCGGTTGATGAATGTTGTAATAATGATAATATTGTCAATGATTATCATATCAAAAATAATGATAATGATTGTTCATCTTACAATATTGATGGACAATCATTATCATCATCATCGATTGATTTGAATAATAAAAAATCAAAAATTCAACAACAACAACAACAGTCAAGATTAATAAAAAATTCAAATCGTATGAATAATAATAATAATGGAAAAAGATTATGGAATTTTATGGGTATATCACCATCACCATCACCACCACCATTGCCAACATCATTATTATCCCCGGTAGATGATTCAAAGATTACTAAACAACAACAAAAATCAGATGATTCTGAATTGAAATCGAAAATTCGTTCAATCAATAATAATAATAATGATGATTTGATTGTAACAAGCGGCTGTTCACGTGATCGATCATCATCAAATGAAACATCATCATTGATATCAAGAAAATCAATTTCTTGTGGTAATGAAACAAAAACAAATAATTCTATTCATCAACAACCAAGAAGGCTAAAAAATCATCATGAACAACCAACAATTGCAGCAAAATTACGATTAGATAATCTACTTTTATCACCTGCTGAAGATGATTCTCGTATTCAAAATTCAAAATTAGATATTCAACAATGTCGACAAAATAATTTTGATTATGATCTTAATGATGAAGATGATATTCTATTCAGTCGTATTAATATGGATCGAGATAAAAATATTGTCGATATGTCGATTAATAAATCAATCGATTCTACTAATAATATAAAACGAAATCATTATAATGATGCGGATGATGATGATCATGATAATGTAAATGCTATCGATGACAATAATTCTTATCAATTTCAATTTAATTATCAAAAAAATGATTTAAAATCTCGTCATGATCATCAACTAGCAATTGCCGGTGGTAATGAATTATTTAGTTCAAGTCGTAGTACACGATCAAAAAAACGTTATCATCATCATCCGATTAATCCAAATCATCAAATGGCTATGACTAAATCGGCTGTAGTTAAGAATAAACTTAAATCAAATATTGGTTCAATGGTTATACGACCATCATTTAATTTTATGGATTTAGCACCATCACCCGATTTGATGGAAACTAATGATAATATGGCCAAATTTTCGGCCAATGATAATTGTAGTGACAAAAAAATTCCATCATCATCATCATCATCAACCATGCCATCTAGTGTAGCTCAATTCCGTAATAATAAACATTCTATTCCAAACATTCTGAATCAGAATAATAATGAATTATTATTGGTAAATTCTTCATCATTATCATCGAATGTTGATCAATGTTGTTCATCGACAAATGATTCGAACAAAAATGTTATCATTAATAATTTATCAGCCATAAATTATGATGTTGATGATGATCGAACTATGGAACAGAATCCAAAATATTTAAATGAAAATGATTCTAGTCAACAAAAACAGCAATCCGAAATAGAATCAACTGTTATATATAAAAATGATGATCGAATTCTTTCTTCAAGTGATATAAACATTGATTCGGTAAATAATAATAATAATGATAATAATTGTGCAACAATTGAATTAATTATGACTAATAATCGATCATCATCGAGCAATAATAATAACAATAATAATAAGAATCGTAATAAATTCAAATTTATTGAACATAAACATCATAGTGATCATCAATCTTCTTCCGAAATTTCAAATAATCAAGAATGTGTTGAACAAACAAAATCACCACCTAATCAAACAACATTGTTGTCGGAAATGCAAACAAAATTTATTACCACCACCAATCAAACAATGATTGATGACGATGATGATGATGATGATGAGAATATAACAAATGAAATGAATTTGGTTTGTGAAAAATTTGTCACCGATTTAAAGAATAAATTATCGATTGTATCGAAAAATACTGACAATAAAGATAATGTTATCATTGATAATGATGATGATGATGATGATAATATTCAAACAACAGAAGTCTTTGATAATAATAATTATATTGTTGATCATAATGATATTATATCCGAATCCGATTATTCAAGTATATCGATTGAGAAAAAATCCGAATTCGATATTAATGAATTACCGATTGCACGTATTATTGGTTCGGTACCGATAGCTCAATATGAAGGCTCACCAAAACGTTATGGACCAAAACCTGGTTATCCACAACGAATCATATCATCTTCATCATCATTATCAACTAATAACATAATAAATAATGATTATTGCAATAGTATGACATCTATTCAACAACAACAACAACAACAACAACCAATAATAGAAAAACAAGAACCGATAATTAATAATACTAATAATAATGCATTAAAATCGATAACATTATCATCGGAAAATGATTCACCACATTCATCATCATCATCAACATCGGCAACATTTTCCAGTACCGATGTTAATAGTTCATCAAGTTTTTCTTGTCAATCAAATAACCGACCGATAAAAAAATCATTACCATCAGCATCTGGATGGCGTTCAACATCGAACAAATCCAAAATAATAATGATGGCAAATGATTCCAATCAACAATTATCATCGTTTGAAGAATCTAGTCAAAATAGTTTACCAATTCAAGAATATAATAATAATAATCCTTCTAATATTATTCAGCAAACACAAATCAGTTGTGATGAAATAGTTAAATCAATTTTAAATATATCGAATATCGAAACTGCCATCGATAGTGAAACAGATAATGCATCAATAAGTGCAAAACCATCACCATTGAAACAATTTAGTGATAATAATTTGAAATCCGAACCATGTGAGCTAGAAAATCAACAACAACGGCAAGAATTTGATGATAATTATATGATTTCATCGAATGAGACGAATAAAATGAAAAAATCTTTCAATAATGAATCATCATTATCGCATAGTATAACATCATTTAAAAGTCTTCAATCAAATGAATTATCAACAACAACGGCTGCAAAAATGACAACATTAAGAAAATTTTCTTCAACTACGAATGCATCCACTACTGGCCATTCATCTGATTATCTAAAAATGAATAAATCCGGTTCACTAGAATCCAGTGATGATAGTAATAAATCTGGCGATAAATATCATTATAATGATGATTGTGGTTCATCATCGTCATCACATTTTCATCGAAATAAAGAATTTCGTAAGAATTATATAAGATCTCATTTTACAACACAAAATGATGAAAATGAATTGATTGTAGCTGATAGCGGTATTAGTAATAATGATTTACAACTTGATCAAACATCGGCAACATCATCAACCGTTGATACTAATAATAATAATAATAACAATGACAATAATAATGGTGATGGAAATAATCGTAAAAGTAAATTAAGTTCATTCATATGTTTATCACCAGAATTGATTAATGGTAAAGATTTTCTTGAACATCATCAATATTCAACACATTTAGATGTTGATGATTTATGTTTGTCTGGTAATGATCGTGATTATTATAAGGATAAAATATCATCATCATCAATAATACCCGACAATGATATTGATTTGAATGGAACCAATACAAAATTAATGAATATTATGCCCGTTCTTGAAGATGGTCTTTCATCCGGTTTGCCTTCAAGCGATAACGATGACGATGATGATGGTGAAATGATGGAATATGATGATGATGCTGATGATGATGATGATCGTGATCATGTTCCAATAATAAATAATGATCAACAACAACCATTATCCGATAATTATTATCATGAATATCAAAAATCTAATGGTCGAACTGTAATCGGTTGTGAAACAACATCGACAGCAAATTTACCACAATCATCATCATCATCATTCAACAATAATCAACATCAAACGGTGAATGGTGATGGTGAATCTCTTAATTCGAATTCTTATGACAATTATTATCATAATACTGGTAAACAACATCAAGATGTCACCAAAACAAAAATTATCAATGGCCAATCACAACCATCATATTTTAATGTTGATGAAAAAAATAATAACCCGTATACGATAAAAGATGAATCCAATTTGACAACATTGAATTCAAATAACAGAATTCATAATGTTGATAATAAAGATTCGAATCAAATTTCGTTTGATAATTCAAATTCATTTAGTTATCATCAAATGATTACAGGTATTTTTTGAAGAATATTTTTTCTTGTTAAAATTCCTTAAATTCAATTTTCAATTTTTCTTTTTAAAAAAATAGATGAAACGAATGCGGTAAGACATAATTTTCCACTGGCTGATGGCACATCCAATTCATTGAATCAACCAAAACGAATCGACATTACTGATATTCAATGTCAAACAACTGGACAACTAACAGGAATACCGATTCATGATAATAAATATTGTCCAAGTTCGACAACATCTAACAACAGGTATGTTTTTTTTCCTCGTCAATTTCATTTAAAGTATCGTTTATTGAACTTTTTTTCAGATCAAATTCACATATATCGATTCAGCGAGCATCAATGCCAAATAAATCGATTCATTCATCATCATCATTGTCGACCAATCAAAATATTAATACAAATACCAATACATTATCTCCTAGATCGACAATGGATGCTGTTTCTAATTCACCACAATCACCACCTCATTCATATGGCCATAATTCTTATCATAATTATTATCATCATCATCATCATATATCACCACAACCATCCAGTGTTCAACAACATCATCAACAAAATTATCCAAATTTAAGCAATAGTCCAACAATGTTGCAATCGCCTAATTCACCTGGTGAAGGTTCACTTCATCATCATCATCACCATCATCATAATGCATCATCATCATCGTCAGCATCATCGGCTGCATCATCCGTTTCATCTGCATTAGCTCATCATGGACCACCACCACCACCATCATCATCATCTTCATCTATCAATCATCATCAATATCATCATTATCATAAGTCAACACAACAATTAGATCAATCGCCTACACAAGATACTCAGTCACAACCAAAAACTACTGTGAATTCTACAAATGTTCCAGGAACAATTAACAATTCGAATGTTACACCTATTGGTTCATCATCATCATTACCAGCTTCAAACGTTAGACATCCTGATGATGGTTAGTAATCACTTATTATTTTCGAGTTTTTTTTATATAATTTAAAATTATTTTTCTCATTAGACTGTGATACTGATCAAGAGACTGATCGGCTACTTGGTAGTCAACGTTTAAATCAAAATGATGACAAAGAATTCTATGATGAAAAGGTAATAATAACAAATGTTTCAAAAAAATTCTCATTTATTGGTTTTTTTTTCTTGAATACTTTTCCTACATATACTAGACTCAAACAAAACGTTCAAACACATCACGTGAAGGTAATAATGATAATAAACAAATCAACGGTTTGTTTTAATTTGGAAAAAATAACTAATTTTCATTAATACTTTTTTTTCACACACACTATCTTTTCTTATAAAATCTTTTCATTACTTTTTTTTCTCTTATCATTTCCTATGTAAGTTATCGATTAGTTATTTCTATTCAAATCTAATTTGTTTTCTATTTTTTGTTGTTATTTGTTTTCCAGTTCGAAAATGGCCATCAAAAGTTTTGATCGAAGGTGTATTATTTCGTGCTCGTTATCTTGGTTCAACACAATTAGTTTGTGATGGACAACCAACAAAAGCAACACGTATGATGCAAGCAGAAGAAGCTGTTTCCCGTATCAAGGTTAGTGTTGTTGTTGATGATAATAAATCTAAATTAATGTTAATTTTTAACAAAAATTTTAAAATTTTTGTTTGCATTCAAAAACAAATTCATTGTTTAGTCATTGGTAAGTTTACGTATAATATTAGTAATAGTTTCGTGAAACAAAACAAAAAAACATTCCTCAGAATAATCGATCCGATCATTGATCTTTTTATTTTTTTTGAATTCCACATTAAATTTGTTAATTATTGTTTGTTTGTTTTTTCCGGTTATGTTTCATCGTAAAGGCACCGGAAGGAGAATCACAACCAAGCACTGAAGTCGATCTGTTTATTTCAACGGAAAAAATTATGGTTTTGAATACAGATTTAAAAGTATGTGTTTGTTTTGTTGTTATTTTTGTTTTGTCAATGTCTTTTTTTTCTTTTTCTCTATCATTTCCTTTCATCATTACCACCTTCGTTATCAACACCATTCGTCAAACAGGAAATTATGATGGATCATGCCCTTCGTACAATATCATATATTGCCGACATTGGTGATCTATTAGTGTTGATGGCCAGACGTCGTTCACAGATCGATGATCAAAATGATTCCGGAATCAAACGTTCACCAAAAATGATATGCCATGTGTTCGAATCGGAGGAAGCACAGTACATTGCCCAATCGATTGGTCAAGCATTTCAAGTGGCTTATATGGAATTTCTTAAAGCTAATGGTATTAAAGATAGTAGCTTTTTAAAGGAAATGGATTATCAAGAAGTACTTAACTCACAAGAAATATTCGGCGATGAACTCGAAATGTTTTCAAAAAGAGAAAAACAAAAAGAAGTAAGAAATTTTGAACGACATACACTTACTTATATACTTGAATGATTTACATTCCAATTCAATCCGTTCGTTTTTCTATCTGAATGGGGGAAAAAAATTTAGGTCATTGTGCCCAAACAAAAAGGCGAAATACTCGGAATCGTAATCGTTGAATCGGGATGGGGTTCAATGCTCCCTACAGTGGTTATAGCAAATTTAGCCCAAAATAGTCCTAGTGCTCGTTGTGGACAATTGAATATTGGTGATCAAATTATTGCCATTAATGGCATCAGTTTGGTTGGTCTTCCATTATCTACTTGTCAAAATTATGTCAAGGTAATGGTCTTGTTTAATTTCAAAAAATTTCATTTTTCAAAATGCAAAATTTTTTTCCGCAGAACACTAAAAATCAAACTGTCGTTAAATTTACAATTGTTCCTTGTCCACCGGTTGTTGAAGTAAAAATTAAACGTCCTGATACAAAATATCAATTAGGATTTAGCGTACAGAATGGTGTTGTATGTTATTTGGAATTTTGTGTTGAAATTTATTATTGATAATTTTTCTTCATCATTCTTCAGATCTGTAGTTTACTTCGTGGTGGAATAGCCGAACGTGGTGGTGTACGTGTTGGTCATCGTATTATTGAAATTAATGGACAAAGTGTATGCTTCAATATTCTTTCGATATTCTAGAATTTTCTTTATGGTAATTATTCATCTTTTTTTCAAATTACAGGTTGTAGCTGTACCACATGATCGAATTGTCAATCTATTGGCCACTTCGGTTGGTGAAGTAGGTTTTTCTATTTTGATTTAAAAAATATTGATTAATAATCTATAATTTGTTTCAACAACAACAACAAAAAAAAAACATTGATGATTTTTTCATTTCCCATTTTTTTTTCGTTTTAGATTCACATGAAAACGATGCCAACTTCCATGTTTCGTTTATTGACCGGACAAGAAGCGCCAAGTTTTATGTGAACAACAACAACAAAAAAAAAAATCCCAAGGTTTTCCCTATTTGAATCCAATCCATCCTGATATTTTTGGATTATTTTTTATCCATCAGCAACAACAGAAAAAAAAATTCAATTTCTCTTTTTTTCGACCTAAATTTAATTTATTTTGCTTTTGTTTTTTTTTTGTTCCTGTGTAAAAAAAAATAATTTTCATTTTTGTGCCTTTTTCTCTCTCTTTTTTTTCCGTCGTTGTTGTTATCATGTCCAATATTACTGCTTAATGAATTTCTGGATCGATTTTTTTTTGTTGTTTTGGTTTTGTTTTCTCACTGTTTTCACTTTTATCATTAAACACCTGTACATGGATCTATTCCATTCACACTATTCGGAATTTTTCAACCAATTTTTTTTGTCATCATTTTGAATTCAATGTATTCTTATAATATTATTCATTGAATATTTTTGTTATACAATTTTTGTCTGTATTTATAGAAAGAAAAATGAGAGCGAAAAAAACCCATCAATGTCAATTTATCATGTGATCTCAATTAAATAAATTTTAAAAAAAAATTATTGAAACAACAACAAAAAATTATGATGTTCGTACTTTTTTATTTGCAAATATTTCCGGTTTGGAAAGTTTCCATACTTCATAACGATGATTCAGAAATGGACTTGTATGCAATTTTTCAACAGTATATGGCTGATCATGACATTTATTTACAATTGTTGTCGATGATAATGTTTTTGAATCATAGAAAAATACACGACGAATTCTTGAATGAACCAATGCCATAGCACACATTATACATGGTTCTTGGCTTAGAAAACAATCATATTTGGTACAAAGATAATCATCCTTATAATGATTAATATTATTATCACATTGAAATGAATCTGGATCCTCTAATAATCGTTTTTTGACTTGTCTATGTATTTCGGAAACATTCGTTACGGCATTAATCACTGCATGATCTAATGGATGTTGATCGATCCTTGAAATGGTTTTAGTTACAATTCGTTTGCAATCATCCTTGACTATTATGGCCGACATACGTGATGAATCATTGTTCAACATATTTAACGTTTCCATCATTAATTCGTGAATTTGTTTCCAATAATTGGGTGAAAATATACTTCCATCAAGGCATTTAGCTATACTAAAAAAATAGTTATATAAAAAAAAGTTTCAAATTTCAAAAGAATAAAAATTTATATTAAATTATGAATTACTATTGATCTTCAAAAAAATTAATAGGCCATAATGATGATAGTCGTTTGAATTGATTACGAGTTAAAGGGCTTGATGCTGCTACTTCTCGTATACAAAGATTATCGGGATCAAATCCATGTAAGAATTCACGTAAATCGTAATCCATTTCGTCGATTGTTTTCTGTATAAGGTCAACATCCATTTCGCAAGATGATTCTCGTATCTTAGAGACTATTATCTGGAAATTTCCTTGTTTTGAATTAATTCGTTTCAAATGATCCAATGATATTTTAGTCATTGGAAGTTTTGCCGATAAAAATTTCATTATATAGTCAATTTTAGCCTTGTCCGATAGCTGTAATACCAATACCTTGACTATAGTAATATTAAATTAATTAAAAGTAATTAAAATCTAATTAAAAAAATACCTGTTGAAATGGCATCATCGTTGTAAATATCCGAAAGAATCGGTTCAGAATGAAACATTTTCGGTTTGACAGATGATTTTTTCAGACGACAGAACATTTTCACTCACTCAAAGAAATTCGATATTGCGTCAGTGTTTAAACCAGTAGTATCGATAGTATCGATTATTAGACTCGAAAATATTTCTTATATGCATATGAAAACAAAATGGATTTAGAATTTCCGTTCGATTATAATTCTTATTTTAATGTAATTAATAAATTATGTGAATTAATAATGTATATAAATCGAGAAAAAGAATCAATTAATGAAATAGAAAATAAAACGATTAAAAAAATTTGTCAAATATCTGTACATAGTTTGAATGAACAATGTGAAGAATATCGAAAAGAAATATTACGACACATAATGGATATCAAATTTCGAAAAATTATTGATCGTGGTATTTCAATTAGTTCACCATTAAATCTAACCGGTGATTCGAATGCATATATTTTACGAATGGATCAATTTTCATCATTCATTCTACATACAGGTGTTGATGAATATTTTTACCTGTTACTATTATTCAATGAAATTTTTATTGTTAATCAACGTACAACAATAATAATGGAAAATGCACCAAAATTAATTAGTAGTGAATGGATGTTTGTATCAAGTAATCGTCATTTACGATTATTAAATAGAGATGTAATCGAATCTTATGTGCTTATCATGTATCCATCATGTATTCATTCGGGATTTGTTGCTCGTAATCAACGATTATCATTGAAATCATAATAATAATAATAATCATTATTATTATTATCATCTATGTTTATATCATGTCATCATCATCAATAATGTTTTAAATAAAAATATCTAATTACAATTTCAACTTATTAATATTTTTCTCTATTATTTTCCAATTGTTTTTTCCTTGTAGAACCTTGGCTTGTTTGATAGAATAATTCACAATGGTGATAATATCATTGGTATCATGTTACGTATTCGTTGAAAAAAGGATGATCAAATTTTTTGATTGGAATTGAACAGCGAAAAAATGAACAACAACAATCCAACCGATTGATAAATGACAGAGGCCAATGTCCATGATCATCCTGTATATAAATTTATTGTCGTTGTTGTTTTTATATTCATTGGTATTGTCCATGTGTGTGTGTGTGTGTATGTCGGTGTCTACGATGATAATTAAATCAATTATCGGTATATTTCAATCAATATAATTCCGGATATTTAAATTTTTGTTGTTGTTGTTGTTTTTCATACAAACTTTTCATACAAATTTCGAAAAAAAAATGGAAATTCTGATGAAAAGTTGAAAAAAAATTTCGAATGAAAAAAAGTTCTTCGACCCCTTCTTTGTTTTTATGATTTGGATTTTTTTTTTACCCAACAAATTGCAAATGATGTTCACTTGAAAATAATCAACGACAAAAAATATGGTCATCGAATGAAAAAAACCAGGAAAATAAAATACACCAGAGAGAGGGAGGGTGTTGACAATTATGGTTGTTTTTTATAATTGTTAACAACCAATTTCCCGATGATGATGATAATCTAGATCAAGCTGGAATCTATTTTTCCATAATTATTTCCAGCCACAAAAAAACCAAATAATTTAATACGGCGGATTTCCTGATCATAAAAAACGATGATGATCCACAAACATTATGGAAAAAAAAAATCGTTGGCGCCCTTGTTTTATTTGAATGTTTTTTTGTTGTTGTTGTTGAATGAATAAAGGTGTTTTTATAATTTGATAATGATGATGGTGGTGGCACAAACAACCATACCGCCATAGAAAAATAAAATCATCATAACGATTATTTAACCTAGATTTTGCCCAGCTTCTATTTGTTTTCCATGATTTTTGATTTGTTTTTCCCCTTTTCAACAACAACAACAACAACAACAACAACAAATTTGTTTGGAGAATTTAGTTTAGTTTATCCTATTTCAATTTAGTATTTGTCAGTCGATTGAAAGAAGAAATTGGAAAATGATGATGATAAGAAGCAGAAGAAAGATAAGAAAAAAAATTCGAGATGAATTTTGTGTATGAAATTGAAATTGAAATTGAATACAAAGTCGAATTTGAATCATTGCAACAGATCATTTTGTTATTCAATTTTCTATATCAAATTTTTTTTGCTTCCCAAAAAAACAAATTCATCATCATCGTTATTCATTCATTCATTTAAGCAAAGCAAAAAAGAAAAAGAAGAAAATATGATCACATTTGATTCGAATATAGATTCGATTCATATCAATCAATCAATCAATCGAATGAATGAATGAATGGAAAAAAATTATCCAAAAACTTGATAATTTTATGTCAATTTTCTAATTGAATCAAACAAACAAATCACATGATTCTTAATAAACATTTTTTTTTTGTTTTGTTTACTGGCTAAATCAATGATATTCAGATTTCTGTTTTGTTTTTCGTATTTCAAATGCAGAAATCACATTCGTGTTCTTATATTCGTGCAATTTTTTTTTTCGTCGTCGTCGTCGATAATATTATTATTGTGTTTATCATGATTGATTTGATTTGATGAAATCAAATCAAATCATGTGCAAAGAACAAACAAAATGAATGTACGGAAAAAAAGATATGTTGAAAAATGGAAGAAATCCGAGAAATTTGAAAAGAATGAAGATTCGCAAACACGAATTGAATTGATAATTTTTTGTTTTGTTAATGAAATTTTCTACGATAATCGATATTGTTGATAACATCAATAAATAACTAAAACAATTTTTGATTCTAAAGTTCAAAAAAATTGATAAATATTGAGAGATTGAAGAATTCTCGAATGGAAAAATTTCATTTTGTTTGTTGTTGTTGTTCGGAAATTCATTTTGATTGAGATTCGGTTTCAATTTTGTTTGTATGTTTTTTTCAGTGTTTACCGAAAATCAATCAACTTTATACAAAAAACAAAACAACAACAACGGTAATCAATTGTTAGCAAGCGGTAAAACAAAAACCGATCATCACATTAATGATTACAAGATCATCAAGGAAATTAGATGCCTTCATTTCATTTCATTTAGTCATTAAGTTAGTTAGTTGAATCCATATCGCAATCGATTGATGTGTGTGTGAGAGAGAGAGGAAAGAAAGCTGAATCAATCAAACAAACATAGCATAGAAAAAAGCATATGTCAACATGTTGATCTCTCTCTCTCTCTCTTTCTCACATAATCATCACCATAGTGATAATATAGAATGAATTCAATCAGAGAAAAAAAAAATCTACTTTGATTGATTTTTTTCTTCTTTTTTTTTGCTTCGAAACGGAATATGCACATAACGGTTTTATGATGATGATGATGATGATGATGATAGAAAACAGCGACAACAACAACAGAAAACCGAATCAAACCAGGGCTTAGAAATTGAAATTAAATACATTAACTAATGATGATGGTGGTTACCATGTTAATGATGATGATGGAATGTCAAAGAGATGATTATTGTAACTGTAGTCGAGAAAAAAAATTATTTCGCTTCCTAGTTTCAATGGAAAAAAATCAGTTTCATTTTTTTTAATAATTTTAATGGAATTTGAATACAAAATTAAAAAGTTTTTTTTGTTGTTGAAAATTCCGATGAAATTGTAAACCATTTTCGAATCAAAACAACAATCGATTGTTGATTCGAATCCTATCGAATCGGACAATTGAATCTTTCCGTTCGAAAGTCGCCCATCACTTGATTCGAATGTAATTTTGTTCGATTTTTTAGGAAATATTCTTTCGATGTTTGAATACTATTTGAAATTTGAGAATTTTCGTTTTCACATTTGGAAATCTACATCAAGAAACAAGAACCAATCGAATCTTTATCAAGAGAGAAAAAAGTTTTTCTATCAAAGAACAAAAAAAATAGCAACAAAAAAAGTGATATAAGCGAAAATCAATCATGATCATCATCATATTCAAAAGTAAATATTTGAGGTCAGTCAACGAATTTTTTTTTCGTTCTTCTTCTTCTTCTTCAATGTTCATAAAAATTTTTATCTTTCCAAATGATGATGATTCACAATCAAATATTGTCATATGATCAGAATGGAAATGTAAAGAGAAAATTTTTTTTTGTGAACATTTCTCAATGATAATTCTATTCCATCCCCCCCAAAAAAAATGATGATTATTCTTTTAAATATAGAGAAAGATGAAGAAACTTTGTTTGGAATTACACTATATGAAAAGTTATTCAGTCAGTCAGTCATCATCATCATCAAATATTGTTTCTCACCAAATAGAGATATGGTTATAAGCAAGTTATGTTGTCTCTTGTGTGTATTTGTTTCATTTATTATCATCTAGAAATTTTTTTTTTTTTTTTTGCTCTTCTGAAGTTCAAAGACCTGTGAATGTGATTTATTTTATATTTTATATTTCAAAGTTTACGTTCCGTTGCTATTTACCCCTGATCAATACAATGTTTTTGTCTACAAAATAATGTATTGTATGATTATTATGTGTGTCCTGTATGTATGGTTGTTTGTTGGACGATCTATATGGGGTGTGTATTTATCTAAATAAAAAATCAGGTAAAAAAAACGAATAACAATTATGGTTTGTTACGGTGTGTACAGCATACCGCGGTGACATACGGTTATGGTGGTCATTTTATTTTTCGTTTATCAAACTAATTCTGCAAAATAGAATGATGACCCTTTGGAACATTTTTTTGGACATAATCTATGATCATAAATGGAACATAGACACAGACAAGAGATAATTTATTTTTCGTTTCATATTTCTTTCAAATGAACCCCCCGAAAAATTTTTCCGGAATTTCGTTGTGATTAGATTAGTGAAAAAGAAAAGAAAAACATGATATTCTATCACAGATTTTCAGTGTTCCATTGTTCGTTCAAGGTTCCTGGTTATTTTCTTTTCAAGATTCAATCAATGCAAAATAAAACGGTCCATATTTTCTATTGATAAGAATTTTCTTCTTGAAACAAATTTTCTCTCACCCATCATATATTCATGATGAGAACAAAAGATTTTGCTTGAATAAAGAAAAAAAAAATAAATTCATCCTGTCCAGGCCGTTGTTGTTGTTGTTGAAACATTATGAAGAAGAAGAAGACGGGAAAAAAAATGATGACAATGTTCGATCCTTATGT